ATTTTCTGTATTCTATTATTCTCTTTATTATATGCGTTGTGTAGTAATTTAAACTAAGTGGTAGGCCCTAACAGTGGTAGGGCCACGCAATAACAGTGGTAGGGCCACGCAACAGTGTTCGCTGTTGCACGAATGGGCAGGTCCGTCCGGGTTAGTACCATGACCTCACAGAAGACCGGCGTAAAGTAGAAGTGTTGCACTTCTGCGTTTCGTTTGGTGAGTGACGTAGCCGGGGCCCACATTATTAAGAGGTGGCAACGCATCTGCAACCCTGCGGGTGTTGCAAATGTCCATGGGCAGTCGGTTAGCACTTAACATCAGGTGAACCGCCAGCTTATTTGCCACTTTGTCACATAAAAATAAGTTAATGTGCAAAAACTAGTGCTTATTCTTTCACAATATATTTTGTACTACAGTCATGACATGGCGTCGACGCACATAGTATAAAACAAAGTCTAAAAATGTATGCTTAGATCTCTAAAACTACGCAACGGACCTTGATGCGGTTTTTTTACAAGATAGAGAAATTCAAGATGAAGGTTTATACGTATAATAGATTGTACCCTTTATAAACTTCATTTTTATTTATACTTAAAAATACCCCTAGGATTATAAGCAGGAAAAGGTATACTTATTAATTCATTGGGCAACACGGGCGTATATTACGCGCAAATTGAATATTATAAATATCGTCTCCGTAAGTTCACCCCTCTATTTATGTCCGTATCTAATGAAGACGAGGCTGGCTAATGAATATGCTACGTGTTCGGCCTACGGATGACGAGACTGAGTCATTGCACAGCCAATATGTTCTCGCGATGTTTTGCTAACTCGTAGAGTTGTATTTATTGCTGGTTTGACCGCATATCGCCTTTTGCAAGCACCACGACAACCGAATATGGATGCACTAGAGACTTTAATGCTCATTGGCTAATATATCGTTGTGCACAATGGCGTTTCCTGCGGTAATATATTGCTCGAAGTGATAAGTTATATCTGGTATGAAGTGAAAACGCGAAGTAGCCGTAATTATTATGTAGGAAGATTAACTAAACTTCTAAAAACAACACACGATATTATCTCAAACATGAGTGAAGAACCGTTGAGATTAATGTGTCTCGCATAACATGTTTAATAATTACAAAATATTTCTTTTTTCTGAACAGACAGATAAGCAGATGCTGAGTAGGCTCATCTCCCATTGCATGTCATCTTTTACGTTCCGTGGCTACTCGTTTGTGTCTTAGGGTAATTCATATAACTTTTATTTCATGATTTTTGAACGTTATGGCCTTAATATTGTGATTATGTAGCCATATGATACAATACTTAATTCATAAACATGTTGAAAATTTACCTATAGCAATATGTGACAACAAAAGCTTACCCAACAACAGATGCAGGCGACTACTAACGGTATAGAATTTTAAAGTCGAAAACCGTCGTGCAACCATGGCTAATATATAGAATACTAGCTGTTGCCCGCGACTACGTCTGCGTAGAATAGGCTGAAGGCGTAACATTCAGACAGAGAGACAGATATACATAAAATATGTATTTAATTATAGCCTATGTCTTATTCTGATGTATAAGCTATATTATTGTAAGGTTTCATTAAAATCCATTCAGTAGTATTTACGTGAAAGCGTAACAAACATCCATCCCCATACATACAAACTTTCGCCTTTATAATATTAGTAAGGAAGTAAGGATTATTGTACTGGACTTCATAATTTTCGTGTTTTAGAAAACAACGCACATATGCATTGGGCAGAATATGTATATGAATTTAGTGCTGAGAATTTTTCGATTTTTATTGCTTGGTGATTGTTCGTTATTCTTGTAATATACATAAAGGTTGGAGAAATAACAAGTTAAACTAATCCAAATTAAGATTTTTATCAAAAAGCCCGCGAACTTCTAATTCCGCCTAAATAAACCTTTGCGTTCAACCTTTGTGTTACGGTTTACGGTTTGTTTAACTAACGGTTGCGTTGTTCGAGCATCATGAATTGGCAGTTTTTATCTTGTTCTTGGTAGTAATAATTGGAGCAAGAAAATATGCAATGAAATATACCTTCTACTAATCTTGGAACTTATTTAAGCAATTCCTTATTGCAGCATAAGATTAGGTAAATCATATGTTGTAATAACGTATAACATACATAAATTTCACGTGGTCATACAAATTATTGTCTCGTGTGAAAATCGAACTCAAGACCATCGGTGCCGAAGCCAACACCTTGGAAACTAAATCACTGTGTCATCAGTGTTAAAGATTAAAGCATTGGTAAATAGGACTTTAAGTGATTAATTATTCATAAGAGTAAAAAAATATTATAAAATATAATCTATTCTAGCATGGATATACTTTTTCATATATTTCAATAAATTGAACAAATTAAAAACTTTCGTGCAACTGAAGATAAAACTGAAAGCTATAATTACTGCATGATACAGGTAAATTTATCTATATATACATCTGCTACTTCAACATACCTACCATATGTTTAAAGGCTGCATTAAACATCCGCCAACACGTAGAGTTTGCCTGTTGTATCGTCATTATGGACATAAGAAAAGGGGCCTATTATTTTTCACCCTTAGGAAAATAGGAAAGGACAAGTGTACCCCAGTTGATTTGCTGCCCATTTGCGTAAGCACAACTCCGTAACCTCAAGTAGAGAGCCGGGCGGGGGAGGCGTCTCTCAGGGCGCTCTCCCGGGGCCCATTTTAATTTTTTGCTCCGTTGCCTCCCGATTCGCGCTCCTTATTGCTTTATTTTTGTAGTAATTATAAATGCCGAGCTCTAATTTGGTATTCAGAACGTTAAACTTTACGACCGCCCGGTACACGCGGAATGCAAGAACGTTTTAATATTCAAACCGTTTCGGGTAATGCTTCTTGCCAGTGGCTTTATCACTGTATCAAATCGTTTACCGTTCATTGAGATCGTAAAGTACATAAGTTTCATTTAAGTTTTCTTTTGGATTCGCCGACAAAAAACGTAATTTTATCTGACGTGACATAATATTTTAAGTCGTCTGAATTTGACAACTTGAAACATCAAGATTCTGTTCCACTGTTGAGCTCAATGCTTTTTTTTATGTGAAAACTTGGCAAACCAGCTGGCGGTTTACCTGATATATAGATATTTGCAACACCCGTAGGGTTGTTAATGCGTTGCCACCTTTAAATAAAGTGGGCCCCGACTACCTCACTCACCAGACGAAACGCAGAAGTGTTACATTTCTACTTTACACCGGTCTTCTGTGAGGTCGTGGTACTTACCCGGACGGACCTGCCCATTCGTGCAACAGTAAAGACTATTGCGCGGCCCTACCACAGTTCATTCAATTCATTCTAAAATAGCTGATTTTCGCGACTTCACTTAAATTGCTTATAATATGAACAAGTACAGCGCTTGCTACACTTGTTCGGGGCAGTTCATGTTGTTAATTTAAGTAGTACTTTCTATTTTTTTTATATTTATGAACATTTGTTGAACAAGCTTTTGGATTTTGTAAAAGAGAACTTTTTTTATTGTATTTTTCTTGACCATTATATCGAATGCTGTCATCGGCTATAATTGTAATTGCACTAATTAATAGATTTAACTATTTTTAACTATACTTAACTACTATATTAACTACTATTTAACTATACTAACTACTATATTTAACTATTTTTGTCTCAAATAGTGTACATTATGTTCGCGTTCATTAAATAAATAAAACTTTAGCAACCTTAGTTTAAATGAACATATCATAATTTTTTTTAGAAAAGGATCAATTGTCTTAGAGATGAACTTTAGAAGAATACTTTAAACCAAAATTTTCTTAAAAAAAAAAAAAGAAACAAGTAGTTTTTCCGTGATGCACGCTTAACGGAATCAGTTTATTTATATAGATTATAATCAATTTATCGTTTAAGGTTTGAATGGTGTAGTGAATTAAGCACATCACGTAATTTATAAATAATGACAGGCAAAAAGTCGGACGCGCAAATCGTGTATAGATGACTGGGCGGGAAGGAGAAAATTGTTCTTAATCGTTACTTGGCAATGCGTGTGTCGAAGTGATAAATACACGATATTGTTTTCCACGTAACACCTTTGGTTATTTATGTTATGTGTGCGGAGTTGCTGTTTCACCTAAAAGCTGACGGTCAAAAAAATATCAAATATGATAAATGAATAAGAATTTTTTACTGTCTATTAGAACACAGATCGTTGGTAGGTTTTGTTTCTTAAGTCCAATGAATAGTCCGCAATAAGAATTTATCGTTGATGGAAAATATCTATCGGGAACCGAAGAATTGTTTGTTGAGATATTTCGAATAATAGAACGGAGAAAAATATCACTCCAAATCGCAAGCGTGGTGAATAATAGTTCGAGTGCTTGGAGTAAACCGAAAATAGGCGGATCTTTGAAACAATAGCTTCGTGGATACAACAAAGGGTTGAAGGAGCCTAACGCAGCTGTGTATAGCGATATACCAGACAATAGAGTGGTTTCGATTGAAAGTGCCACTGGATTTTCACCTCTTTGTAGAGAACGCTTCAACCTCGCCAAGTTAAAATTTATTCCGAGGAATAGTTTCGACATTTTGTGGCTTGAATATCAGATACGTGCACAAGTCGCCAGTATCTATTCGGTATTGTTTAGGTTCTAGGAGACCCCGTCTAGAATAGTAAGCGCTTGAAAAACTATTTTTAGGTAAAGAATCTATTATAAACGCAATATAAGTTATATAATGCAATAAAAATTTCATTGTTACTTTTAATTTAATTTTTTTCTCGGAGGCCTACGTTTTACGATTCGCAAGAAAAGTAAGAACATTAAGATGCGATGGTTTTAAAATTTAAGGATGTAACATGTAACGTTTCGACATATCGTGGCTTCTAGGAAACAATTTTAGTGTATAAATATTTGCTGCTATCATGTTACAGGGTAGCCTAATTGTGAAAGAATAGTCCAGAAAATTGTTGTATGTCCTACCTGTTCAGGTCTTAATCCTGGTGGGACCCATGTGTACTCTTCTAAAGCACATCCAGAGTCATCATCGCTCTGCGAATGCCTGTGGGGGTCACCGGGCTTCATTAGCCTCTCAGCGTGCTCCAACAAGCCCCTGAGTTTTCCTTGCGGGACTGGGTGAGGAGAAAGGGACATAGCGGATTGGGGGGACTGTGGAGACTGGTAACTGTGACCCGGTTGGTTTAACTGAGACACACTGTGGCTGTGTAGAAGGTTGTACTCCGGGAAGTTTTGGGCCGGCGGTGGTTGGCTCCGCCTGAAGTTAGGGTAAGAGTACGGGTGGGGGGAGTTGGATTGGCTGGGTATGGATGAACCGCTGTGGCTCGGCTGCGGTGACGGTAGTGATGGCAGCAGGCGCGGAGACGTGACCGGTGATGACGGCGCGGGGGGCGGCGGTGATGTCGGCTGCTCGTGGAGTGGCGGCGGTGATGAACCGGTGGGCGACACCACGCAGTTGCGACAGACAGGCCTGAAAACAACGGAAGCAAATTTATACACCTTTTCATAAAGCCAATGTAGTAGCCTAGGCTGGGTGATTTCAAACCACAGGTCCCAAAACCAACTTACTCAAATGACTTATCCGCTATTCGAATAATCGAGATAGAAAATCATCTTTTAAACAATCCATTACGTATCAAGCATGTCACGAATAAAACAAAACATATTGCTAACCATAATTCGATTAAGTATTTTTTAATTTACTGTCTGCTTTAGTGTTCAGATCATCGATCCATGTACATTTTGTATAAGAATGTAAACAGCGATGCTTTTAAATTTGAAATATAGGAACGGTGAAGGCCCGTAAACATTTCAACTCCTGTCTGACATCAGCAGGCAGCAGGTGTTATCCGAATAAAGAATCAGTTTGAACCAATGTCCGTCCATCGATGGCAGGATCGTGACTCGTCAGCCAAGAGTCATTGTTGGGCGCCGATTGATTTATCTGCTCCAAATGATTTAGTGGTTACCGCAATGATTGATGATCCAGTTCGATTGTCCGTGATTGATGCTGTCTTTTGGCGGGATTATGCTGTTTTATTAATACCAAGATCCGTACACGTGTATCATTTGTTATTGTCTTAAACCCTTATTAAGTCCATATAGCTTGCTTGCATGAGAATTTAGATGCAACTCTAGTGTGTGTGTGGTAACTGCTAGATATCACCAACATATAGGTTTTGTACAGACACGTAACTTTATAGACAATTCTATATATGTATAATTCTATGTATATGACAATGTTAGTTTTATTAGTTTACTTGTAGCTATTTCTTGTTAATTTATTGCAAAGCTTGGCTTTTTGTTTACTTCATAACATTAAGAGGTTGTGAGGTGAATCACGATATCTTTTCTTTCTAGACAAATATTTCCTGTGTCTGTCAAATAACAAGAGAACAGACAAATGTGAAGAAAGCAGGTATGAGCCATCATATCGTCACAACAACATATTTTACGGTGGTAGGGCCACGCAGGAGCCTCGGCTGTTGCACGAATGGGCAGGCTCTTCCGGGTAACTACCACGACCGCACAGAAAACCGTCGTAAAGTGGAAGTATAAATACTTTCGCGTTTCGTCTGGTGAGTGAGGTAGCCGGAGGCCAATTTTCAAAAGGTGTCAACGCATCTGCAATCCTCGGGCGCAGATGTCAATGGGCGGCGGTATTCACTTAACATCAGGTGAACCGTCTGCTTGCTTGGCAACTTTTCACATAAAAAAAGACGATATGATGGTTCATATCGTATAAAAATCATTTATGATAAATTGTTATCGTTTTATATGTTAATGTTGTATCTTAAAATGTTATGATGGTTCTGTTTTTGGAATGTTAGCTCCTAAGGTCCTAGTCCGAGAATTCAAACTCCAGTTGCATTTTTCAATGTTATGCCAAGTTCAATTTTTAAGTACTCCTGATGTACATTTATACGCTACCTGGGTGTACCGGATAAAATACGCCCAGAGTTTGTTTTGTCGCTTATAGGTAATATCGTGCTTACAGTATTACGACTCGTTTCAACTTGATATTTTATCTAATGCCAACGACAAAGTAACTCATGCTCAAACGTGTTACACAACATTCGCTTCGTGGAAAGCCGGGCGTAACAAGTTGTTACAAGTTTTCTAAGCGATTAAGCTGCGCACTTTAAATGCGAGAGCAGCGAAATTAATTGACTGCATCGCATCGATCGGAGATCGCACGCGTTCGCTCACGCTTTTTATGTCTAATTGCCCTGACGCCCATTAAACAATTAACGTGTTTGGACACTAATGGTCTAACTTAACCGGCTGCTTAACGTACAAACTCTCACGTAATTAACTTCGGGGTACACAAATTATATCATCAGATTTTCATCATGCTTCTTTAACGAGACAGGTGATTGTCACCGTATGCGATGGAACATGAATTTCCACGCGGACTAACAGCCAGATGCGAAACAACTATCTGTGGGTCGCACAAATAGTTGTCCCGTGTGGGAATCGAACCCACGACCCCCGACGCGGAAGCCAATACCTTGGCAACTGCGCCACGGAGTCATCAAAGTATTTTTTACACTTGAAAAAAATCGATGTGCCCTTTGTATCACGAGTACAGGCAACCTTCAGATTATAACATAAAATTATGCAAAAAGTAAATATGGGACTGAAATTGTAAAAATGGTCCGTGCCATAAGGTAATCTAAAAATTGTAATACCTTTATTATTTATTATGATATAAAAATTTTAAACAGTAAACAGTTTAAACTTTTATACAAAACGATAAAAATTACAGGAAAAATCACATTTTCGTAGTTTCCTGCGTTTACGTTGTTAACAGTAGAAGATTATGTCTTTAATTTAAACATTGAAGAAACAGATAGTCAGAAGAAACAGATCAACTGTTTTATAAACATCTTATAATCTTAACTTCTATGCTTTGCTATGCTAACTTGTAATCCTGTTTCGTCCACGTTTTAAACATTAATTGTCAAAGGATCATTAGATTTATGAAATTAATCTAATATAAGTAAAAATACTAAAATGTTACAATTTTTCTTAACTTTTCATTTTCCATACAACCTATGACTTATTGAATGATATACCAACTACTTGAAAAGATATTAACAAGTAATGAAGCTTCCGTACAGGTAATTATTTGTGTCTGACGGCAATCTTTACAAAGCTCAGAAGCAGGTAGGGCTTGTAGGGACTTTAATCTTTTTCGCAATAATGTCAGAGCAAAAACTGGTTGGAGATTAATTTGTATATCAATATTTAATACGAAAAGCGATGCCTTTTCGATTATGAACCGGTTAACGGATTTAACTGATCGATTTATTAATGTTTAAGTCTGTCTCGAAGTTAACATTTTCTGGAGGTAAGGAGAACAGTTTATGTTACACATAAAATTTAATACGGCATTGTTTAATTAATGCTATATTAAATTTGCATATCATTTCTGATGTAATATTGTATAGAAATTTAGGCATTCTTCTCTAGTCTATACTACAGATATGACTTTAATTAAGAATCCTACTGGACTACTCTTTTTTTAAAGAAGGGTTTATGCGAACATGATTATACCTTCATTCAAAAAATATTTAAACAAAAACTTACGATCTACTCTTAATAACTAATTTAACCAATTTATACAGACTGAGGGACTACTTCTGAATACAGTATGCAAAATACATCATTGAAATTTTTTATTTGCAATTTGCGATCCGTCCGAGACAATCTACATAAAATTAATAAGATAGCATCATCGGGATGCAATTAAAATCAACTCGAATCACGTAAGCGATTGAGATGCGACGATAGCGTAATTTTTCAAGCCCACCGACATCTAGGCATCGGCTGTTTAGCATGCGGCATCGGGCCGCGAGATTCATCTCGAATTGTTGGACGAACGCAACTATAAATAATGGATACGCCGTAATTACGGCTCAAACAATAAGCCCGGGTAGCCCATCTCTGACGTAGCGGGCTCCAGTTTATCGTGAGCCCTTCGAAGTAAGCCCGGGTAGCCCATCAGACGTCTCGGATGGCGTATCGGGCTCTGGTTTATCGTGAGCCCTTCGATAAGCATCGATCGATCGGCAGCCGGCGGCCGCTCAAAGGACGGATGTACCCCAAAGAAATGCCACCGTTAGATCGCGACGATTACAATTAAAATTGTATCGCGCTCCGTCTGTTGGGAGCTCTCTGTGCTCTTTACCGCACGCGAGTGTTCGAGCTAGCCGTGCACTTCGGTCACGCGTTCCGGGCTCTACCACCATTATCGTAGTGCTCTACTTTTGAGCTTTACATGAATTTGTACCCGCTGTTGCATAATGATCGAGCTCTTTTCAGTTTTACAATTGTAAGGTGCAAGCTTGACTATTAAGCCTATTTGCATCATTTTTTGTATGAAAAATTCAGTAATTGGCGCTGTTTTTGTTCTAAAGTTATACTAGTTATGGCGCTTCATACAAAATATAATAGTCAATCAATTTTTTGCAAATTGAGGTTATATATTTTAATCTGTACGTAGAAAAGTGTTAAAATGTCATTTTGTAGATGAATGTTAAAACTTTCGGCGCTTCGAGCATGCTAAGCTATGCGGTCGATGAAATCACGGCGAGAAAATATTGACACGTATATGTCTTTTCTCTATTTCATTTAAGCAATGCATGGCGCCTTGCTATTATAAATAAAACCCAAAAAGAACTTTTTCGAAATTTGAATTTTGATTTTATAACCCGCATGTGGTTTCGTAGATTCGAATCTTCCTCTCTAACCCTATAATATTAAACGTTTTCTAGTTGTAAGGGATGTATACATATTGTAAACAATCACAGAACACACACTTTAATATTAGGATCACGAACGACAACACGCTGTTGAGCATTCCCATACGCAGGAGACCCATACATGCTTCATTCGTAACGCATTCACGTAACTATGATGTTACTACGGAGCGACAGACACTATGTATATAAATGTTAGAACAATCAACATACGAATTTCCAAGATAGTCATTTTTTTATGTGATATGTTGCCAAACGAGCAGTTGGTTCACCTGATGTTAAGTGAATACCCCCGCCCATGAACATCTGCTACACCTGAGGGTTGCAGATGCGTTGACAAACTTTTGAAAATTGGGCTCCGGCCACCTCACTTGTCAGACGAAACGAATAGTCATATGTTTGATTAGCGAAATTCCTTAAGTATGAGCACTATTGAAGTAAAGTTTGTCTTTCGGTCACCAGGTCCACTCTTGTGAGTTAGTGCACCATTCTGAAAAACTCTTATTATTTGAAAGATAAATTACTCGAGATGGAAAAGCTAAATACATAATGTATAGGGCCATATAATATCATCAAGTCGTAAACTTACAAACGGGCGGGTCGCTAGTAATTATATGAAAAACAATAATTTTATAAGTGAATAGATTTAGTATTCTCCATTTAGTTTTATTAATAGCAATAAGTATTCAAATGTAACTATAAACCAATCTCAAATCTGGCAACTCTGGCTCCCAAGATACAAACACTGCTTAGTTTGGGAACCATTTCATGTTTTATAGTTTGACGTTAGTTACAATATTTTGTATTAATCTTCATTACTATTTTTTAACTCATGTTTTGTAATATTTGTATCTACTGAGATAAATAAATAAAATTAGAATTATAGTATCTGAGCGTTGGATGTTCTATTTAAGAGCGCAGGCTTAAGTTTGGGCTACGCAGCAGCATCGGCTGTTGCACGAATGGGCAGGCCCGTCCGAGTAGGTACCACGACCTCATAAAAGACCAGCGTAAAGTGGAAGTATGACAAATACTTTCGCGTTTCGTCTGGTGAGTGAGGTAGCCGGAGACCAATTTTCAAAAGGTTGTCAATGCATCTGTAACCCTCAGGTGTAGCAGATGTCCATGGGGGGCCGTATTCCGTCTGCTCGTTTGGCAACTTTTCACATGTTTGGGCCCCACTTAGTTGGACCACATTGGGAATAAAGTCGTTATAGTAAGTTTGCCCATGCAAAAGGGCTCGACTAGAATGGCATCATGTTCTAGGGTGTCTTGACTAAGGAAGGTTTCCTCTCCTTAAAGGGGCTGCGGATGGCAGCAATAGCTCAAGTAAAGTCTGGTTAAAAGGGTTTCAATAGTCCAGCGAAAGGTGCAAATTATAAGCTGTGTTGGTTTATGAATTAATTGAAGTAAAACGAAATGAAACTATTAATTTATTAGCTCCGTTTTAAACTAAAAGCTTTAATAGGCGAATGGAAACAGAAAATGTAACGAAAATAATTATTAAACTATTTAGTTTAATAATTATTTTATACTTTAATCATTATTTGGTACTCAGCGTACCCAGAACAAATTGCTGATTAACAATACTAATTATAAAAAATCTATGTCGTAAATTACTACCTAAACTTAAAAGAACGCGAGAGTTTGTAAATTTGAAAATATTCTCTCGCTATATTTAGAGCGTTGAGCAAATTTTTTATGGTGACGTAAATAGAATTCCTTCGTAGGAGGTCAGAATGCTAAAGGTCAAATAATTATCAAGCTTGAAATTTAATTAGTTGAAATTATATCAACGCAACGGTGAAGTAGCTCCAAGCCAGCAGTAGAGCAAACGCTTACAAGTCCATTAACGTCGTTAAAACAGACTACGCATTAATTATTTAAAAAGATGTACCGTCAAAGTTGCTGTGTGGGATAGAACAACACTTCCATTATAATTACAAGTAATTAATTAGCTCTCCGTTATCACGTATTACCGTTACTCGTAGTTGAAGTCGCTGACAGCGTTTGAATGCTCGATTTAGCAACTCAACAATTATAAATACATTTTATACATACATAACAGATATTTCTTCCGAAAATGATTGCTCTTAAAAATAATAAAATATTCTATTTAATACACATAATATTATACATTTTACACTATATTTAATGATTTCAAATTTAAGTAATAACAATTGATAAGTTTTTAAGTATTGTTAGAAACTTTAATAAAAGCAAATAAGTCTGTAATTTTTTTGGTTATAAAATAAAATAATTTTATGTTTCACGTGTCTCGTTCGTCGTAAGAACTATTTTAATCTCAGCAAGTTTTCTATCCGTATGAGAAACCTCTTGCCGTCACTGTGTGGTTAAAATCAAAAGAGGGCGCGAGAACCGTAAGAAGGTACTAAAATAGATTACAGAACCTTTTATTTGTCTTCTTCTACGTTAATTTACTAGAAAATTTTTTGTAAAAATAATAAATATTACTTGCTGTTTTATGGTTTCTATTTAGTTGTTCCCCTTGATTATAGAAGTAATGCCACGAGGGCAAGGTTTGTTAGAACACTTGTTAGTATTTAATATTTTTTATTAATTAGTTTATTTAAACATTAAAATATGTAGAAAAAGTGCGAAAAGATTGTCGCCGCTGTGGGAATCGAACCCACGTCTTCGGAATTCGCGGCCTGTAAAACGATATTCGAAGTTGTTTGTATGCTGGAAAGGATATAACAATAGATGGTGCCAAGCATTGCTTCAATGCTAAGAACTTCAAATGCTAAGAAAACAATGTGGAAGGATGCGTTAAGATTTTCGTCGGTGTGGTAATCAGCCGTTTAGCTCAGTGGCTAGAGCGGCAGGCCGCGAATTCCGAAGACGTGGGTTCGATTCTCACAGCGGCGACAATCTTTTCGCACTTTTTCTACATATTTTAATGTTCAATCTTAAGTGCAAAGATTAGCACTATAAACAATTTAAATTTCAAAAAAAAAAAAATAATTTATTTAAACTTTGTTGTTACACCTTAGGCTAGGGGCTATAATGGGCGGACTTAATGCCTAATGGCATTCTCTACCAGTTAACCTTAGTCATGGTGAAAAGTAGATGTATGTGTGTTTTAAATTTAATAAATTATAATTACTAATTAAACATAAAAGTCAATAATCTCATGTATTTATTTTAGCGGTCCTATCATAAAACGTTTCTCACACAAAAAAATGTTTTAGGGACCATCTTGTACATTGCACCACGCACACACATGTGACAGGATACTAAAGCTTAACGGTCAGTAATTATTTAATTGACTTATAATTAAAGCTGGTATTTCCGCAGTCGTCTCGACCGTATCACAGCGGCGCATGGTCGGGCACTTTGTGTGTAAAACATAACGGGTATGAGATGACAGGACGATGAAGTGATGAATATCAGGCTGCGCTTATCAATAGCACCATTGGATTTGCCTTTTTATTTCTATTGGGTACGCCAACAAACATATATAAAAAAACATAAGAATAATCAAAAGTTCCAAGAAAGAAAAACATTATATATCTTGTCAAATATAGGAACTTTCAATTAAATTATCGAAATTTAAATTTTTATAGTTCAGATTAGCATACAGAGATACTGGCATGCAGTGATTCTGCACATAATATAAAACATTGAAATTTGTAGAAAACAAGTAATCGGGATTCGCGCCCTGACGCTTTAGCCAGTAAGCTAAACGGCTGAGCCGTTTTTTAAGTTATCGCAGCTGTCTCATACCTGGTGACCGAAAAACAAACTTTACTTCAAGAGAGCTCATATTTAAGGTATCGTGTGCAAGATCTAGTTTTAAGTGTAAATCAACAGTGTCTAACATTTGTACGCATTGATCTGGCGCGTTCACGACTTTTAGTATTTTCACTCGGCAGACAAAACGCAGAAGTATAGCAGTTCCACTTCGCGCCGTTAGTTGGTTGTTAGTTCCACAGTAATTCTAAAAGTAAGAAAGTCGGAAAGAGGGGCAAATTTCACGGTTGACTTTACTCTTGGTATGAGCGTACATGACGCTTATGACAAGTACAGAAATAGGCACATTTGACGTACATAAATAAAACAACCATTTACGCCAATAATAAATCAATGAACAAACATTTTTACCTATGTATATTGCCAACACAGAAATGGCAAAGGTTGGGAAGAGAGCAGGTGGTTTCACCTTATGTTAAACTGCAACAAGAAATGGCAAAGGTTGGGAAGAGAGCAGGTGGTTTCACCTTATGTTAAACTGCAACAACGGAGTGGTCGTCGATGCGTTGCAAACCTATACAAAAGT